TTTGGAAGATGTTTGTGTCCCAGGACAATGCTCCGTATGCTGTTTTTTCCATGCCTCAGGTCAGAAAAGCACACAATATGAGTGTTCACAGGCATTTCATAAGCTTCTGGGTTGTATTTCAGACCCTACAATTCAGACTCAGAAAAACTCTGAGAGTGAAAGAGCAGATTTTCAGCTTGCCTCACTACAAGGACCATCAGCAGACAAGAACAGTCATAGAAGATTATCTCCAAAAAATGCAGCCAAAAACACATGGGAGATAGCAAGCGGTATGGTGCTCATTTTATGTTATTTTACATCTCAGTTATGTGTGGCATGGGGGACTATCTATTGTAAATTTCAAAGAACCCAGAAGCAGTTCACATAAAATATAAATGTCTGTGTTGTGGGGGATTATGGAAATCAAACACCCTGCAACGGAATTGCTTTTGAGCATTGATAAAGATTTGCAGGATAAAGCAGAGTACCAGAGCAGTGAATTAATAAAAAAGGAAAAATTCAATGCTCTCATGATTAAAGGGAAAGAACTAAAAATAATTTATTCTTTAAATCCCTATTAAATTTAATGCTAAAGATGCCAAACATCAAAAGTACGAGAAATTTTACTTGTCCCAGATAAGAGTTTAGGATATTAATTATGGTACCCATGTAATATCAGGGGTTTTTTGTTTTGTTTTTAAAGTTCAGTGGTGGATTTTCTTTTTTTCTTATTCACAGAAAGACAGCTCATCTTATGTTTTTTTTCCCTTTCACACCTATCTGCCAAAAGGTGTGGGTATTTTTTGTCATACAGTGTCAATCAACTAGCTTTGCATGTGTCTGGAAAGTACATTATTGTGGCAAAAACACCTTTGTCTCTATGAAAAAGTAGTGTTACTTTCTATTAAAAGGCATAGCCACCAACTTGTAAAGTAGGCAGACTACTCAAATCTGCTCAAAATTGACCAAAGAAATTTTTCTTCACATTGTGAGTTATTTCCATTTTGTTTAATCTTTGGGATGTTTAGAAGCAATTATATACTATGACAATGTCATTAATCTGTAATTGCTATTATAGGTTTCATAATTTGACTGAAACAGATGTAAGATGCTAAGGCAAGTAGAGCCTTCTGGAGAATTTCTAAATTACTTCCTATGTACCTGAATTTTGAGGATTCTGAGGCAGGAATCACTGTCTTACTTGTTCTTCATCTAGAATACCAGGGCCTCTATCTAGTGGTAGAATTTCAGAAAAATTAATCAACACTTGTTACTTTATGTAAATACAAGTGATATGAAAAGACAGAGACTCAGGGCAGTAGACTGGCATGTGTAAATGCCCTATTGTAAATTCAGAAGCAGAGAACTGAGGAAGAAAGCTATGTATAAACACTGCTATTTTATTGTTTGTGTTTATGCGAATGAAAACTGTTTCTATATAGTCTTAATTGTGTGTACAGGCAGATAAAAGTCACCATGTGAGTTTATAAGTTACAATTCTCCGAACTTTTTTTTCCATATTTTGATTGCTTGGCACTGGTAGCTCAGTTTGCAGATTTCAATTTCTTTTCAATACATGAAGACATCTGACTATATGTAGATGACTTAACGGTTTCTTTATCCTGTAGTATTGGATTCATCTGTGTTGAAGACCTTCCTATAGGCAACCTATGCATCAAGGAAAGTTCTCTTCTATGCTCTGTTCTGAACTTCTTCCAAAGTGGGATAAACTTAACCTCAGAGAATGATAGGCGTTCTTTGAGGAAAAGTTCACAGAGAAGGGGGGGAAATTCAAAAGCAGAAACATCTAACAAAAAATGAGGAACCTAATAATTTTAAATAGAATTGCACCATTCAACATATAGATCTGCATAAAATACTGTACAAATCATTTACAAAAGAAAGTGAAGTGTACACTGATGTTATCAGATGAGAGAAAAAAAACGTTTCTACCCGTTTCTTACCAAACTGTTTCACATTTGCATTCACATTTTAAAAACAAATACCTTTCTAATAAAAGCAAAGAAATTATGATTTCTGTGATAACTGGTGTTGTAGCTGGTATTCATGCACACTGTCAGGATTGTAACCCCATACACCTCAGGACTGATGTTCTAGTCAGGAAACCCAACAACTGATCTTGCCCCGTAGTGAACAACCACAAGCTTGGTTCAGTGGTGATGACTCAGCCAAAAGCATAGTCCTGACACTTCTGACAACGTGTTAATGTACATACACCTGTGACAAGTCATTGGCACAAAACCACATTCCCCAAGCAAGTGCAAGCTTACATGGGTTCTGGCTCCCTATTTATACCGTGGTCAAAACAAGTTATATCAACAAGAATCTATCATACACTATTCTTATCACCAGGCATTTAGTATTCTTGAGCCCTGTGCAACCATATCCTATGGTGATCTTGGGACAGTGCTGCACTTGTTCTGCCATTAGCTTGAGTAAATATTAATTTAAATTTCATGGGGGGAGGGGAGCTTTCATAGGTGATCTTATTACCTTAGAGGTTAGTCGCTGCCATTTATAATAATATCTTTTAGATTCATTATAGAGCTCAAATCAGCATGTCTTCTGTAGCAAGTGTGCAGTACCTTTACAAAGGTAAATTGTTTTTAAGCAAGGGAAAAAATAAAATGAGTGAGCATTGTTTATAGTTCACCAATCTTATTATGCAATGCTCAAACTTTCATTAAAATGTTACGCTGCAATTAGAAGCTTTAGCATAAGTCTGACTGTGTAGAAGAACTAATTAGATGTTTAGGTGATCATTCTTGCATTTATCTTGTTTGCTGCAATGTTGTGATTACACAGTAATTTGCATATTTTGCTAAGAAGATACTCCAAATTGTTCATTACAATTGACATGGAAATGCTGAGTTAAAAAGAAATTCCAGTATAGTTTGTGGTGGAGAGATAATAGGATTTGGTTTGGTCCAAAACACCCCATATCTTTCACTTGTAGACTATTAACAAAATGCTACACTGACTACAGGTTACGGAGGTTGCTGAACTCTGTAGCCAGCATAAAATGTCTTACAGGCTTTTCTGTCTTCCCCCTGCATATTTCATTAAGAATAAGTACTGTGGTATACAAACTAATATTTGCATTTAACTTATTACTAACCCAAGTATATTTCTTCAGCATCTCTGGAAATGAATGTTGTTCTTTACAGAGAAGGTTAGCCTAAAAAAGCAGAATATTCAGGCTAAATACTATACAGACACTAAATCTTTTAAAGTAGTTCTTTATATTTCTTAAGTACTTTTGATATGAGTAAAGACATTACTTCACAATGGTGAGTAAAGTAATGTGTAAGAAGTTTTTGGATGTCTGTGTCACAGCCAGGAGCAGGAGTCAGGAGTTTAAGCTTCTAACTGCCTCCTCTTCTCCATGCGCTTGACAAAAACTGTTACTTAAGATTTCTTTTTTGTATTTTGATACTTAATTCAAAATTGACTTAAAATCACAGAAAACAAGTAGTTTAGCATCTTTTTTATCTGTAATGACCTCTGCAAATTGAACAGCCACAACTGCATTAGAAGTCATTCTAGAATGAGAATAACACAGGTGAAACTGCAGTTAGGGAAGTTGGTTGTTATTAAGTCAGTAGGCCATAATAAAAATTAAGCCCCTTCTCTCATTCAGAGTCCTTTGTGCATAAAAATTAGCAGATTCTCATGAAGTGGGTTGTACACTAAATGTATAACCATACCATAGAGGGCTCATTACAATGGTCTGAGCTATTAGTGCATATTTGAAAACTGCAAAGACAGCATGATACATGTCAAATCTAATTTCATGATGGGGGAAAAGGCCTTCTGAATCCTAAAGAAGTATATGTTATACATCTTGGTTCTTAGTAAAGCCACTGCCATTAAAACCTAGTACAACGTGTCTAGATTAAACTGTGGAAGGGTGGGTGCCAGACTGGTCAGAAGACTGCAGAGTGCTGAGATACGAAAAACTGCAAAAAATCCAAAAATCTTCTTAGCTAGGTAAGTTCTGAAGATATTTTTTGTTTTGAAAAATGCAGCAAGTGAAAATGTTAATATCATTGCCTTAGAAAAAAGAGTTAAGAGCATTTCAGACTTAGCATCCAGAATAGCTGGGGAAGAGATCTCTTTATATACAGGAGAGTTGTCCAGCCAATTGAAGTTTGGGAATAAGTAACATTTTTGTGGCATTTCTGCATAGCACTTTCTGGAGTTGCAGATGTGGCAGCATCTCCAGGGCCAAAGACATTCAAAACAATTTCAGGCTTGGTGGGCCAGATTCCTATTGGACAAATGATTGGGTACTTTAAAATACTGATTTAGTGCGAGTTAGTTTTTTAATCATGTTAGGTCACAAAATCAATTGGAAAAAAAAATTTCCTGAGTCTTTGTTCTCGAGCATCCTAATACTGTGTTCAGCTTTATAAGAAAAGTTAATGAGAAGATCCCTCTTTTGTTTCATTTTTATAGGGGAAATGAGTACTTCAAAAATGTAGATTGTATAGATATTAAAATACAGTGAAAGCATAAAAACTGTGAAATTTGAGTTCGTGATTAATACTGGAGATGTGCAGACAGAAAGTCAGTATTTTCTTCGTATGGTTTCAGTTGTTTTATTCACGTACAACCTTTCACATGTAATTCCAATTGCCTGACTAAGAAAAATATGTTATCAGAGGAGTGTGACACAATCTTGAGTGATCAAAGACAGAAGAATTCTGCTCTAGTATCCTCCTTTGAAAAACTTGTAGTTATTGATCAGAACAAAAGGTCATTGGGTTTACACAAATGAAGGGTGGTTCTTAAAAGTTTTGAATAGTCTCACTCATTTCCTGAGGCTCTTGAAAAACTAGTCCAAAATATTTGTAAAATAAATGGCATTACTTACATGTTCATCTTGTCTTTTACTGATTAGAAGCAAGGTGAGATTTCTATATATTTACAAAATAGACTTTTTAATGTACATTAGACAATGATCTACTAGATTGTTTTAAACCAGCATGATTATCTAATATAAAAAGAGTTTACTTGAGAAGCCTTGGGACTTCTAACTATAGCTGGTCTTCATGTAGAGACTGAAAAATAGTCTCTTCTGGAACAAGTAGGTGCAAGCCATGAATGTACAAGATGTGTTAAGTCCCTACTTTTCACTGGTTCCTAGTACAAACTACTGTTTAGGCTATTAACTGGAGTTTGGTAGCTTTACTAGCTATCTTCAGTAAACTGGAAAAATCACAGCAACCCAGTAAGAAGACAGCTGTTTCTCCTGGCGTTCTCATTCTTCTTTCTTTTGCCTTCATTTTATGGTGGTTCAGGCTTACTTGTTTTTCCCCCAAAGCTGCTGAATCTGCCTAACAAAACTAAAAAGAGTAGAATACCATAGTAAACTTACTGTCTTCTGTGACAGCAAGCATTTTATTATTGCAGTGCTACTTTATTATTACATTTTTAGTATTTTTTTTATTGAGCCTTTTTTAATATGGTTGGTGGTAACTTTGTTTTATGGAGCCAGAAAGTTTCAAGATCTAGTGAATAATCCACACCACACTACCTTTAATGAAGATAAGGGAGTATTGCATACTTGAGCAATTCTCCTTTTCTCAGATGCTGTTTGAGATTGGTTTTAATCAATCAAATTGACATTTTTTTCTATACCATCATTGCAAACAGTAAAATATAAGTTAACAATGAGAGTATAAAAATGGCCTTTTCATGTTTATCTGGTGCACTCAATCTTTAAATCCATTTCTGTAGTTTATTGTTTGTTTTAAAATTGGCAGATTAGTACTGCCTGTATTCAGGGAAACTTGGTGAAACAGATATCTTCATACATTTTTCATGTCACACTATTTTTCATCAGAGCTGTAGTTTGAAATTGAGATTTAAACCATAAGTTCTGGACGTAAAAGAGTACAATTTCAGCAATAAAGAAGGAGCAGATTGTAGTATTATGAACTTTCCACCAACTATGTGTGATTATTTTTTTTAAATGTCAGCCACAAAAAATGTGTGTAGGTGTGGCGCTTAGGGACATGGTTTAGTGGTGGACTTGGCAGTGTTACGTTAATGGTTGGACTTGATGATCTTAAGGGTCTTTTCCAACCTAAATGATTCTATCTATAGAAAAAGATCAATAGCCAAATTCAATAAAATTGTGTTTTCCTAGAATGAAATTCAGTTGAAAAGTTTCAAATCTTAACAGCTAAATAGTTTCAGATTTGCAAATTGCAGGCTTGCATGTCATATATTATAGCCTGCGGATTTTTTGAGCTGTGATCTGGAAATGTTTTGATTAACCTTGCCTCACTTAGAAAGCAGCCTGATCTTTTTTGTTGCATCCTTATCACTCTTCCAACTGTATAAATCTGATAAGCAGAATGTTTCTGTATTAGAAAAACTTACTTTGCTATACAACTTCCA